GGGGAATTCACATTGAAATGTAAGTATTGTGTTTTCATTTACTCAAATACCTAGCGAAACAAGTGTTAAAAGCCAGGGTTTTTTTTTTTTAAACAAAGCCCACAAACAATAGGACAACCACTATATAAGCAATAGTCTTTCCCTTTGTTGTGTTTTTGTAGTGCTGTCATGCAAGATATGTCTACAAATGTTTTAACCAAACTTTAGCACTTCAGTATTTTGTATGCATGTCCTGCTGTGTCATATTTTCTAATGTTAAGATTGCACCCCTGTCTTAATATTTTTCATAAGTGTTTCCATTTTATCTTGTTTTAGGACTATTCTGGAGAAAATGAGCCTGCTGGGGAAAATACAAAGTAAGCAAGTTAATAGACACGTTTTTGCTGAAATTCATTGTGCTGTTGTTGTTAACAGGCATGGTTTATTTGCTCTGCCTTAGGATTGCAAGTGTCCTGGGACAGGTGAGGGAGTGAGTGGTGAGCTGGTGGAGCTACTCGGGGAGGACATCAAATTCCAGAGAGAGACAGAGGAGAGAAGTGCACAGGAGAGAATGGAGAGACTGTTTTCTCTTCTTGAAAGAATGGTTAACAAATACATTATTAGCCATTCTCTATTAGGCAAGAGAAAACAGTGGAAAAAATGGATACATTACAATTTTTCAATATCTTTATTTTAAATGTCACATTGTCAATGAAACACCCTAATTTCTGTAGGTTATTTTTGTGATGCAAGTTAAAAATTAAATGAATAAGTTGTATACGTTATTCATTTGGGTAAATATCACTGTAGGGTGCCTTTTGGTGTCCTGTACATAACGCATTTGCCATGATAACTTAACATAAAAATGACTATGAAAGGGTGTGTTAGGCTAAGTTTTTATATTCATAACAAAAGCATTACTTGGCTCTTTAGATACATTTTCTAGATTTTTTTTTGTTGTTTTGTGTAAGAGGATGTGTGTTATTTTGCTGTGTCCCATGCACTGCTCATTAAATTTGAATGATAGTAGAATATTGTCAAATCATAAAAATTAAAAAAAAAAAAAATTCTCCAAGTAATATTTTATTAAATACGAGATTACTCAATTTGAGTGTATTGATCAATTAAAAAAAATAAAACTATATATATATTTTTTTTTATTTAGACAAGCTGTCCTGACCAGCTGTCTGCAGAGGTGTCTGCCCTGGAGGAGGTACCCGCTGACCACGACTATTTGTAACAGGCAAGTAAGAGAATTGTAAAACTATGATGCCTAAGACATAAAACTGAATGGACCATAAAACTGTTTTACACGTAGAAATATTTTATGGTTTGATTTAAGTATGCAAGTTAATTTCATTTATTCTTCCCTTTCTGAAAACATCTCAGTGACATGACAGCCGTCGATTGTGTCAGCCCTGCAAACCTGTTGGTAGACAACACAGTGGACAGTGGAAATATGCACTCAAACACTCTGGAGACCACCCTAGATGATGTCCCTCCAGCAGAGAAGCCTTACCAGGGTCTGTATTTTATAAAAAAAAAAACTATATTTTTATTTAATAAAAAAGAAGAGTTTGTCCATGTCCCTTGAATGGTTGTCCACCCTGTCATATTGGGGAATTCGCCCCTTTAAGAAAAGGCCATCCCCTTTAGTGACATCAGGCCAACAGATTTTTTTGTCTCTTCAGTGGTGGGAATTTCAAAGGCTGAGGTGAGTAAGTTGCTCTTCAGTGGTGGGAATTTCAAAGGCTGAGGTGAGTAAGTTGGTGACTTTTCTATTAGGGCTGCACGATTAATCGCATGCGATATTTAACGCAGAAAGCCGGTTCTGTAATCAGCGTAAATCTCCATCACCTGCGGGAAACATTCTTCTATACGTTTGTTTTTTGTCCTGTAAATATATTTTTTTTTACACATTAAAACTAATTGTTCTATACGTTACTGAAAACACTTTTTACAACAATTTACAACATAACTTAGGTTTACCTTCAGAAAAACAATATAAAACAGAACAAAACATTTTTGTGTACACTGTCATTCAGCTGAGCAGGGAGGCCCTGGTGGAGCTGCTGGACCTGGATGGGCTGCCACAATACAGACCCTGGTAAGGCCTCTCTGCTGGAGGGACATCATCTAGGATGGTCTCCAGAGTGTTTGAGTGCATATTTCCACTGTCCACTGTGTTGTCTACCAACAGGTTTGCAGGGCTGACACAGTCGACGGCTGTCATGTCACTGAGATGTTGTCAGAAAGGGAAGAATAAATGAAATTAACTTGCATACTTAAATCAAACCATAAAATATTTCTACGTGTAAAACAGTTTTATGGTCCATTCAGTTTTATGTCTTAGGCATCATAGTTTTACAATTCTCTTACTTGCCTGTTACAAATAGTCGTGGTCAGCGGGTACCTCCTCCAGGGCAGACACCTCTGCAGACAGCTGGTCACTGACTGTCTCCAAAACATGCTCCCCCCTCCCCCTCTGCTTCATTCTCCTGTGCCATGATGTCACCAACCCCAAGGCAGATGTAGGACGGCACAGGCTGTTATGACCTGAAATGGTAAAAAAGGGACCAAAAGTACATCTTCAGAAAAATTTAATCTGTTTATTCTTTTACAGTATTTTAAAAATGTCTTTGCAATTCACTTACATGAGGTACAAAGGTGTGGTGCACCTCCAGCGCTTGCAGGAAGATGGCCCTGATTCTGGCTTTCATCATCCCAAAAGCACGCTCTATAATGGAGTGTGCCCTGGAATGATGGACATTCCCACACCTTGTACTGGCCTCTTGTAGGGAGTGATGAGGGGGAGTGGGTGTCAGAGGCATGTGTAACCTCCGTCTGCCAGGATAAAGTGCCCTGGAGGAGGGTACACTGACCTCCTGTACAGTGGGCTGTGGTGGAGCACTCGTGCGTCATGCAGTGTTCGAACTATACCGTGGACTTTGGGGGAGCCCACTTGTTTTTTTTTTATAATGGGGGGGG